TTCCTACCTACTACCAAGATCTTTACCTCTTCTAGAACTGTAACATGATAATTTGAGCAATAAAGCCCAGCATTGCCATTGTTTCTTCATTCTTTTATGTGTTTCTAAATACTACCTTATGTAAAATGCGCCGTGAACGTGGCTGAAATAGTATTGGAGCATCACATCATGGCAGGTGTTGTGGGCCGTTATGACTTGCCACCTAGCACCCATACGCCTTCCTTCTGGGAAACTTTACTATCCACTGAGAAAGCATCCCTCTTCTATTTTCAGGGTTGAATGTGATGATCTGACTCCCATCTTCTGGACTGAGCATATGCCAACTAGCATTTCTAGTCCCCCTGTCCACGTGACTGGTTCAAAAGATGTGATTACTCGGACATCAGAAGATATTCACTAAACATTCTGTAAGAGAGAAACTTTTTCTCTTCTTCCCCATCCTGGGGGAAGTGTTCTTCCCTGCCAGAGAGATGTGAGATGGGCACCTGTGGCATCTGGGTCCTACGAAATTAGGCCCGTGATGAAACTCAAGGCATGGATAGAGACAGAGAGAAAATGAGGTTCTTGGTAATACCGTTTGAGCCGTCGGATGGAGGCACACACGAGACCTGCCAAGTTCTGTATTTTATAGCTGATTGAGCCACTAACCCCAATTTTTTATTTTTGGTTTGAGCTGGTTACAGTGGTAATTTTCTTTCAGATCCCTCTGCAATTAAATGGGGACATTTAACGAGTTGGGGCCAAGAGGATGTTTCATTTTGAGCAAAAGCACGTAATTGTTGATTCAAGACCCTCAAAAGGAAAAAATAAATGAAACTCCTTTAGCATTGCCTTGTCCCCTCCTTGCTATGACTCTGAGGAGGTATTTGTTGGTGGAAACCCCATCTATCTGGCTCCTGAGAGACTATGTGCAACAGAGAGCTCGCTAATTCACAAGCTTACAGCAGAGAGAGATACAGAAATATAAACCGTTAGAATTTCAGAAATAATAGCCATCACAGGAAAAACTTCTCCTTTCCTACAGTAGGTGTGCAGAAATCAAGGTATCATACTGTAGCAGTGTTGGAGGCAGTGTGGCTGGCTACTCAGAAAACAACTCACTGGGCTGTGGCATATGCTTTATACCTAGAAGTTACTCTTCAAGGTAAAAATGCAGTAGGGTTTCTGTAGGAGTTCCATAGACCATCAAAAGGTGAATATGAAAAGTAGATTTGACGGGACCAACAGTTAGTGTAATGGCTATGTCGCTGGATTCCCACGTAGTCAACCGCAGTTCACGTCCCGGACCCGGTGGCTTAAAACTCACGCCTAGTGCGTGTGCGTGCATGCCCAAGATCCCAAGAGGAGAATGGAGGAGAAGGGATTGTGGCATGGCCATCCCCCCTGGGGAGTGATTTCTCGCTTTCTGTCTCTCTGTCTCTTTCTGTCTGTCTGGCGAGTGCATGGGCCCTTATAGTAAAACCTTTCCCCCCCAAAAAAGTAGATTAGATTAGAATTCAACATTTTTTAGAAATTCATTTACGAGGCACACTTACTGGTGTATTCAGAGAAATCTTGCTTACACAAGCACAATCTTCTATCCACCAAACACAAATTTCCCCTGAATATGTGAGTGTCTGTAAAAGAAAGAAAGATAAAGCTTAAATGGAAAACAAGACTCTTCCATATGTTCTATCTTCCTTTACAGTATATCAACCTAAGGATCTGTATAAAATTTCATTTTATTTATGTGGGCTATAAATAATAATCATTTTTATTTCAATACTTATTTTCTGAACAAATATTAACCTTTATCTTTAATACAATCTAATTAGGATTAGAGAAGTGAAATAAAGATTTTTCTTTTTTTGCTTAGAAAAGAGTAAGAACAGCTCAGTTTATTCCTCTAGTTTAGTCTAAACAGAGATCAAACTTCTCTGATAGTGTTATAATGTCTATGTTCAGACAAACTTTTTGCTAAATCAAAAATGTGAAATATTTATTTATGAAGTAAATCACTATCTTTGAAATTAAGCAATTCACTGAACAATGAAATATTTATTACATCTAACAGCTTCTACATATAAGATACTCATAATTTTTCCAGTTTCAATCTGATCATATGACTTTTAACTAGGTACACAATGCAAATTCTTTTTTTTTTTTTTTTGAAGAGGTTTTCGCTATAGGGCACATGCGCTCACCAGACAGAGAGACATAGAGACAGAAAACGAGAAATCACCCCCCAGGAGTGATGGTCACGTCGCAATCCCTTCTCCTCCATTCTCCTCTCGGGATCTTGGGCACACACGCACTCGCGCCCAGCGTGAGTTTTAAGCCACGGGGTCCAGGACACAAACCGCGGTCGACTACGTGGGAGTCCAGTGACATAGCCATTACGCTAACTGCTGGTTCCCCACAATTCTAATACGGATTTTTAATTAGTTGTATCGGTCTAGACAAGCCATTTTAGAGCTCTGCCCTTACCCACATCAAACAAGGACGATAATACCGTTCTTTAAACCTACCTTTTAGGTGAACAGACATAAGATTATGTGAAAACATTTTGCTAATGTTGCTAAACAAATGTAAGGCAAAATGTTTATCGTATTAACTATTTTCTAATATTTGATTGGCATTTTTTATAATTTAACCAAAAAAAAAATTGAACACTTTCAGAACTGCAAAATTCAGTAGTTACACAAGGCGAATTAAACTTAGTAAAGCTAGTCCTAATAATAAATGCATTCATCCACATTCTCATTTCCTTATATTAAGAAATAATTTTAAAAATAAGAAAATTTCATTAAAATATTCCTGTTTATTCTAGTTTAGCAGTTCTTGCCCATGTCAATGGACTGTCTGGCATCAGCCACTGCATCAGGTACTCGAACAGTCATACTGCCCATTGATTTAATCAGATTTGGCGGCCCAGACGTGATCTGTCTGTTAGCCCAAACGCCAGATCAAGCATGTCATTCTCATCATCAGTGATTGGTTCTACCTTCTCGAATATGTGCTTTTCAAAGATGTTTCTTTGTAACATATTAGAGATAAAAGTTACTTGGAGATTCAATGGGATCATTGCTTAGTGAATAAGACTAGAAGTAGAAAAATATGGATTCTTAAAAATTAATAAGCTTTATTTTTAAGAGCAATTCTAGGATTATAGAAAACATGGAACAGAAACTGCAGTTCCCTGTACCTTCCCCCTCCATATGTACAATTCACCTATTATTATTATTGCATTAGCTTGTTACATTCATTACAATTGATAAGCCAATATCGACATACTATTACTGACCAAAGTTCATGGCTTACATTAGCCTTCATTCTTTGTGTTGTTCATTCTGTATGAACAGCATCATAAATAATATCACAATATCATAAATAATAGATTCACTGGCCTAAAAGTGTCCTGTGCCCCTTCTATTCATCCCTTTCTCCCCTCTCCTCAAACCCCTGGCAGCCACTGAGCTTTTTTTTTTTTTTTTTTTTTTTTTGAGAGGTTTTTGCTATAGGGCGCGTGCATTCTCCAGAAAGACAGAGAGACAGAGAGACAGAAAGCGAGAAATCACCCCCTGGAGGCATGGCCACACTGCAATCCCTTCTCCTCCATTCTCCTCTGGGGATCTTGGGCATGCACGCATATGTGCTTGATGTGAGTTTAAGTCACTGGGTCAGGGACTTGAACTGTGGTCAACTACATGGGAGTCCAGTGACATAGCCATTACGCCAACTGCTGGTCCCGCCACTGAGCTTTTCAGTGTCTCTAAAGTTTAGCCTTTTCAAGAACATCATATAATTAGAATCATACATTATAAGCCTTTTTATATAGGTTCCTATCACTTAGCTTACACACACATGCAATTAGGTTCCTCCAAGTCTTTGGTGACTTAATAGCTTTTTCTTTTCAAATCACTGAACAATATGCCATTGTATGAATGTACTACAGTTTGTTTATCTTCTCACCTAGTAAAGAACATCTTAGTCATTTCTAACTTTTGATGATTATATAAATAAATTTGCTGTAAACATTAATGAGAAGTTTTTGTGTTGATAGAAGTTTTTAGCCCATCTGGGTACATTTTAAGGAGTGTAACTGCTGAATCATGAGAAAAGGTTATCTAGTTTTGTAAGAAACTGCCAAAATGTCTTCCAAGTGGCTATACCATTATGCACTCCCACTCTCAGTAAATGAGAGCTTCTGTTGTGCCACACTAGAATTTGTTATTGCCAGTGTTTTAGATTTTAGACATTCAAATAGGTGATGGTAGCATCTCATCATTGTTTTGATTTGCAGTTCCCTAATGACATATGATTTGAGCATCTTTTCACATGTTTATTGCCATCTGTACCTCTTCTTTAGTAAGGTGTCTATTCAGGTTATTTGCTCATTTTTTTTCTTTTTTTTTGGAGAGGTTTTTGTTATAGGGCACGTGCACTCGCCAGACAGACAGAGAGAGACAGAGACAGAAAACGAGAAATCACCCCCCAGGGGGGATGGCCACACCACAATCCCTTCTCCTCCATTCTCCTTCTCAGGATCTTGGGCACGCATGCACACGCACCTGGCATGAGTTTTAAGCCGCCGCATCCGGGACGTGAACCGCAGTCGACTACGTGGGGGTCCAGCGACCTAGCCATTACACTAACTCCTGGTCCCATTTGCTCATTTTTAAATGTTTTCTTTTTTTTTTTTCATTTCCTTATTGTTGAATTTTGTGTTCTTTGTATATGTTGGATACCAGTATTTTTTCAGATACATAGATTTTTCTTCCAGTCTATGGTTTGCCTTTTCACTTTCTTAACAGTGTCTTTCACAGAAGTTTTTAATCTTAATGAAGTCCAACTTAACAATTTTTTCTTTTATGCATTGCGATTTGTAAGAAAGTTTTTTATCTAAAAAATTATCACCAAGCTCAAGGTCACCTTAGCTTTTTTTCTTATGTTACCTTCTAAAATTTTATACATTTACACATTGCATTTAGGTCTATCATCCATTTTTTGATTAATTCTGAGGAAGGTGTAAAATCAGTGTCTAGATTAAAAAAAAATTATATGTAGATGTCCAGTTAGTCTAGCACCCTTTGTTGAAAAGATAATCCTTTGCTCCCTTGTCAAAGATCAGCCAACTGTATTTGTGTGGATCTGCATTCTGTTTCGTTGATTTGTTTATTCTTTCATCAATGTCACACCATATTGATTACTATAGCTTTATATTAAGTCTTGAAGTTGGGTAGTCTTTTCTGCATCTATTGATATTTTTCTTCTGCAGCTTATAATGTGATAGATTACATAAATTAATTTTTAAATCAGCCTTGCATTCCTGATATAAATTATGCTTGATCTTGGTGTATACTTTTTATATATTGTTGGATTCAATATTCTGTTGGGGATTTTTGCATCTATGTTCATGAAAGATGTTGGTCTGAAGCTTACTTCTTCTCTTGTAATGTTTGTATCTGGTTTCGTTATTAGGAATTAAGAAATACTGACCTCACAGAATAAGTTAGGAAGTATTCTCTTGACTTTCATTTTTGGAAAGAGACTGTAGAGAATTGGTATTATTTCTTTCTTAAGCATTTTTAGTAGAATTCATCTGTGAGCTTATTTGAGCCTGATGTGTTCTTTTTTAGAACATTATTAATTATTGATTCAATTTCTTTGCTATAGGGCCATTCAGATTTTTTATGTCTCCTTATGTGAGTTTCAGTAAATTATGTCTTTCAAGATTTGGCCCACTTTATCTAGGTTACAGACTTGTGGCTGTAGAGTTATTAATAATATCCCTTTATTGTTTGTTTAATATTTCTGGGGTCAGTAGTGATGACCCCTCTTTCATTTCTTTGTTTTATTTGCTAGAGGATACATATGCTCACCAAGAGAGACAGAGAGAGAGAGAAGGAAAGGGAGAATGAACCTCCCAATGGGGTATGATCTTGCTATAATTTCTTCTCCTTCATTTATCCATTCTGCAGGCTTTTAGATACACACACACACACACACACACACACACACACACACACACAATTTTTTTCAAGCTGCTGGGACTGGGATTTGAACCATGGTTGGCTATGTGGATCCAGCTCCCTTAACTCCGAGGCTATGGGGTTGGTCCCCATATTCCAATTTCATTTCTGACGTTAGAAATTTGTATCTTCTTCTTCCTTTTTTTTTCTTAGTGAACCTGGCTAGAGGTTTATCAATTTAATTGATTTTTCTTTAAAACAAGTTTTTGGTTTCATTTTTTTCCGCATTGAGTTCCTATATGCCTTTCCATTCATTACTACTTTAATTTGTATTCTTTCTTTTCATCGATTGCTTTGGATTCAATTTGGTCTTCTTTTCCCAGTTTCCTGGAGTGAGAACTTAAGAGTATTGATTTTAGATCTTTCTTCTTTTCTTACATATTTATTCAATGCTGTAAATTTTCCTATTACTAATTTCACTGTAACCCATAAATTTGGTAAACTGTATTTAATTTCCACTTAGTTCAAAATTTTAAATTTCTCTTGAGACTTCTTTGTCCTATGCGTTATTTTAAAATGCCTTAAAATTTTTGGACCAGGTGTTAGTGTAATGGCTATGTTGCTGGACTTCCATGTAGTCGACTGTGGTTCGAGTCCCGGACCCGGTGGCTTTAAACTCACGCCAGGTGCGTGTGTGTGTGTGTGTGTGTGTGTGTGTGTGTGTGCCCAAGATCCTGAGAGGAGAATTGGAAGAGAAGGGATTGCAGTGTGGCCATCCCCCTGGGGGGTGATTTCTCAATTTCTGTCTCTCTCTGTCTGCCTAGCGAGCACACACACCCTATAGCAAAAACCTCTAAAAAAAAATGCCTTAAAAATTTAATCTCCAATAATTTGAGGGTTTTCTTGTTATCTTTCCATTATTAACTTCTTAATTAATTCTGTTGCATCCTAACAGCATTCTATGTGTAAATTTTATTCTTTCAAATTTGTTATGGTGTGTTTTCTGGCCCAAAATGTAATCTATCTTGGTGCATGTTGCATGTGAGCTTGAGAAGAATATGTATTCTGCTATTGTTAAGTATTTTATAAATGTCATTTTGATTCAGTTAATCAACGATGCTGTTCAGTTCAGACTCTGTCCTAAATAATTTTGATCTTCTGTCTGCTAACCCTTCTCTGAAGAACTACTTCTAACATCTCTTCTAAGTCAGATCTGCTGGAAAGAAATTCCCTCAATTCTATCTGTCTGAGAAAACATTTCTCATTCACTTTTGGAGGATACTTTCACTGAATACAGAATTATAAGTTGGTGGGTCTTTTTCTTTCAACATTTTAAATATTTCACTTCACTTGCATGGTTCCTGAAGAAAAGTCCAATGTAATTTTTCTTGCTACTTTTATCAGTGAGGTGCCTTTTTTCTTTCTTTCCTTCTTTCTTTTTTATTGGTACTCTTTCTTTTTTCAAGCATTTTTCTTTGTATTCTATTTTTTGCAGTTTAAAACTGATAGGGGGGTCGTCTTCCCTGTAGCCTAGTGTTTATGCACTGTGCACAGGAAGCCAGATGCCATGTGGCCAAAAAGAGTTCAAGTCCTGGCCCTATGTGCATGCTTAGGATCCTAGTGGGATGGTGAACTGGAGAAAAAAAAGGCATGACCAAGCCCCATCGGGGAGTGCTTTCTCTCTCTCTCTCTCTTTCTCTCTCTCCCCCTCCCTTCCTCCCTCCCTCTCTTGTGCATGCACACACACCCTCTGGCATAATAAAAACAGAAGGAAAATATGCTCGTAAACATGATTTTTTCAGTATTTATACTTGTAGGTATTCTAAGCCTTCTGGATCTGTGGTTTGGTAACTGCCTTTACTTTTGGAAAATCTTTAGCCATTATTACTTCAAACATTTCTTCTGTTCTTTCTTCTCTCTCTTTTTACTTCTGGCATTCTCATTCTGCATATAGTTTTTACAGTTATCCTACAAATTTTGAGCATTGTTATGTCTTTTTCAATTTTTTCTCTCTTTGCACTTCAGTTTTAGAATCTCCTATTGATGTTTCTTCTTCAGACGTGTGCAGTCTACTGATGAGCACATCGAAGGCCTTCTTCCTTTCTGTTAAAGGGTTTTTATTTTCCAGTATTTCTTCTTGATTTTTAGAGTTTCCAGATCTCTGCTTTCATTACTCATTTGTTCTTGCATGTTTTTTCATTTTTTCTATAAGAGCCCTAAGCATATTACTATTACTCATAGTTTAAATTTCTGGCCTGATAATTCTAACAGCTCTGTAATATTTAAGTTTTGTTCTGTTTCTCTGTCTCTTCAAAAGTGTTAGCTTTGTTTTTTAGTACGTCTTGCAATTTTCTGTTGAAAGTTGGACTTAAGGTGGTGGATTTTTAAAAATGTAGGTAAATAGGTTTTAGCACAAGGTTTTATGCGTGTCTGGCTAGGAGTTAGGCTATATTTATTATTCTCTGTAACCATAGGTGTCAGAAGCTGAAATGTCTTTGGCACCCTTGTTTTTGACCCCTTAATTGTCCTTGGGATTTCCTAGAAGCTGCTTAAATCAGGTGGAAGATGTGCAGTTAGTTCACTTGTAATCCTCCTGGTACTGGCTCCACTGTGGCTTTCACTTCTAGGTTTCTATTCCAGGTAAGCTGTGGTCCTCTGTATTTGCCTGTTTGTCTCCACAGTTTGGGGAGCAGTGATTTACCCTGTGACCTCAGTTCTCTGATAGATATAAGAAGAGTTGTCAGTTTTCAGTTTGACCAACTTTTTGTTGTTGTTACGAGAGTGGAAATGATAACTTTCAAGCTCCTTATGTCCTGTACTGAAAGTCAAAAACACATATTGTTCATTTTTGGATAACTTTCTTAAAATCAAGACCAAAAGTACCTTTCAGTGTGCTTGAAAATATGAAGCAAGTATTTAAAACATGAAAACCATCTATAGAGTTTTATTGAAACAACCAAGAATAGACACAATTCTTATCAGAGAACATCTGTAAGAAAAACCATACAATTAAAACCTCAAGACTGGAATAAACCTCTTTAAATGTCACCTATTCCATCACCTCCATTGATTTTTTTTTTCCTTTAGGAGAGAGGGAATGGAGAGGGAGACAAAGAGAAAGAGACAAAGATAGACACTTTTTTTTTTTTTGGAGAGGTTTTTCGCTATAGGGCGCATGCGCTCGCCAGACAGACAGAGAGAGACATAGAGACAGAAAGCAAGAAGTCACCCCCCAGAGGGGATGGTCACGCTGCACTCCCTTCTCCTCCATTCTCCTCTCGGGATCTTGGGCACGCACGCACACACGCCTGGCATGAATTTTAAGCCACCGGGTCCGGGACGCGAACCGCGGTTGACTACGTGGGAGTCCAGCAACATAGCCATTACGCTAACTGCTGGTTCCCAAAGATAGACACTTTTGACAGAGTCTCACCATGTCACAATCTTCCTGCCCCAACCTCCCAATTAGCCAGGACCATAAGCACATGCAACTGCACCTAAAATGTTCAAGCTGGCACAGGAACTACACCTGGGCCTTCCACATAGCCTCTAGCCTCCCAAGTGGTGGTGTTATCTGTGTCCCACCATGGTTGTGCACCAGGTATGTTTTTATTTACTAGAATTCCAAAAATCTTAATGATGTTATTGATAAATTGTATGGAAGTTAAGTGGAACAGTGAGGTACCAGAAAGTAAGTCTATATTTTCTTTCATTTTATTCTTTTGCTATAGGGCACAAGTGCTAACTAGAGACAGAGAAAGTGAGAAATCACCACCTCTTGGAGGTGGGGAGGGAATGGTTATGCCACAATCCATTCTCCTCTCATGATTTTGGGCACACATGTACACATGCCTGGCATGAATTTTAAATTGCTGGATCCAGGAGTCGAATCACAGTCAACCACATGGGAGCCTAGTGCCTTAACCACTGTACTACCTGCTGGCCCCAAGAAGTCTATAATTTCTATATGAAGAGAGTTTTTCTTTTCTAAGTAGACTAAATTGATGTCCTGTATTGTTCATAGCCAATATTTTGTTTTCATCCTCAAGTGATGCTGCTACATCACTCTGGAAGAAGGTAAATACTAACAGTTTACTGAGTGTTGATAATCTGTGAGCAGTGGGTGTGTTTAAAAGCCTGATTTGCAGAGCTTTTAAATTTAAAAAGGATGAATCCTATAAGTACTGTGAGCTAACCAATTGCATTATTGGAGCTGTATGAATATAAAGGACTTAATGTTAAGCAAAGTGAGCCAGACTTTGAAAGATACACACTGTATATCCCCACTCAATATGTACTGAATGTCTACACTCTGTGGAAGAAATGGAAAAATCTGAAGATATGACAGTGGAGAGAATAAATGTAGATACCAGAGACTTTAAGAAAATAGAGTAAGTGATAGAGAGTGGGTGGTAGAGGCAGATGGGAGGGGCAAAGGGAAGAAACATTTAACAGACAAAAGAATGTAATTTTTGCTTTATAAAAATAATTTTTTAAATGGATGGCCATTTGCTTTGGCCATTTTCAGAAGACAGTATTATGAAGTCGTAATATGATGATGTCAAAACTGGGAAGTAGGAGCAGGCAGGTGGTATGGTAGTTAAGGCGCTGGACTCCCACATGGCTGACAGAAGTTCGAGTCCCAGACCTGGTGGCTTGTTTTCTCTCCCTCTTTGTCTCTCTCTCTAGTCAAATTAAAAAATAATAATAACAACAAATAAAATTAAATAAAATGATCATTTAAAAAATACTGGAGAGTAGATTTGCTAATGGAAGTAGTTTGTATCTCTACTACAATCCTCAAGACTATTCTCTGTTATTTACATTGCTTTGCATGTGAATATCCAAAGTCACCTAGTTACATATGGATAGAAATTTAAATCTTAGAATATTACATTTTTAAAAAATTTTTTAAAATTTTTATTTATTCATTCATTTATTTTCATTTGACCAGAGAGAGGCAGAGATGGAGAGAGGGGGAAAGGGAGAAAGCAAGCCACCAGGTCCAGGACTCGAACGGTGGTCGGCCATATGGGAGTGTCCAGTGCCTCAACTACCACGCCACCTGCTGGTTCCCAGAACATTACATTTTTTAATCCTACTGTGATATAATAGAATATTTCTTACCATGAACTGTTTGGTCCCAGGTGTTATAAAATCAATTGCCTGAAATTTCCCATCACAAGCATCTAGGATTTTATCTAAGGTTGGCTCCACACCAAAAGTGTAAGTATAAAGAGATCCCTGGTAAACATACAGAAAAGAAAAGAAAGAAACATTGTAATTGTTACAAATATAGTTAAACAAATATTTATTAAATGCTTACTCTGAGTAAGACACTGTGTGGAAACAGGTAATGGGAAATCATAGATCAATTCATTAAGGCCTCGACCTTGAGGAGCTTAAAATCTAGATGCTTGATTTATTTGTTGATTGATTGATTAATTCAGTAATATATTAATCATTTAAAATAGTCAATAATTACTTCTTTCTTTAATTTTGGTCATTTAAAAATTTATAAAGTACTTTTTTCCAGTTTTAAAAATAATGTCTATTTATGTATAAAATTTGAGAAATGTGGAAAACCAGAAAGGTTATTAGGATGAGTGAAATCCTATCACATCCTAAACACAATGGAGGGTATAAATTAAAAATGAAGTAAGCCTTTGTGGAAATTGTGAAGGTATGGCTGAAGCTGTTATAGTATGACTTCTTAAGTTCAGCTCCCAAATTTAATTCTAAAAAACAAAAGAATCTATCTTGTAATTTGTACATCTGTGCCAAGTAGTTGCAACATGACGTGGTCACATCACCAGTAATAAGACGGCTTTTGACTGATCACAGGTTCTTTAAGTTTACTTAAGATAAATATGAACATTTTTGTCCTTATTGATCTAAAACATACAACTCTGTAGAATCTAAAATGTGATAGGTATTAACAAATTTTACCTTTCATCCATTTCTTCAACAAATACTTAGTAGATACACTATGCCAGTCACTGTGGTTACCTTAGAAGTTACAACATGCATTCTTAATTTATCAACAACACAAATCACTTAAAAGCTTCACTCTCCTCCTGGGTAATATAAGAACCTTAGAATACTTTATTCCATTCTCCCATCCTCCCCTCAGCTTCATGTTATTGGCTAGGATTTTAGTTTAACATTATTATTTGTTTTTTAAAAATTATTTATTTATTTATTTTTTTATTGAGAGGTTTTTGCTATAGGGCGCGTGCGCTCGCCAGACAGAGAGAGACATAGAGACAGAAAACGAGACATCACCCCCCAGGGGTGATGGTCACGCCGCAATCCCTTCTCCTCCATTCTCCTCTCAGGATCTTGGGCCTGCATGCACACGCGCCCGGCGTGAGTTTTAAGCCACCGGGTCCAGGACGCGAACCGCAGTCGACTACATGGGAGTCCAGTGACATAGCCATTACACTAACTGCTGGTTCCCAACTTTATTTTTAAAGTCAATTCACATGTTTGCTGTTTTATATCATAAGTGTTTGTTTACATTCCTTCACACATTATTACTGTTCTTCATGGTCCAGCGGTAGGCATACGACATAAGGATAGACAGGTGACCCAAGTAAGTCCAATGAGTTTAGATTCCAGGACATTTTTTTCCAGTTTGTATGTTTCCACCAGGATCACCAAGAGGGTGGAAATAGAAGTTAGAGCTGCAGGAGCCTCTCCTGACACCATGAGGGGAGAGTCTGCATGGAAGTAGAGGCAGTAGAGAGGAAACAGAGCCAAGAAATGCAGGAAAGCAAGACCCATCGGCATTGCAGGAGCTCCTGGATTCAGATCTACCTTTAGCCTTTTCGGATGCATGCACAAAAACAAATATCCCTTTGTTAGTTAGGCTTTTTATTTATCTCCTTACCTATATATTTTTTAAAATTTTATTTCTTATAGGGAGTGTATGCTTACCAGAGAGCGACAGAGAGAGGAGTGTGAGAAAGCACCTCAATGGAGGGGTTGGCCACACTGCCAATGCCTTCTTCTCCATTCTCTGGGGATTTTGAGCATGCACACATATGTGCCCAGCATGTTTTCCAAGCCCCCAGGAACTTGGTCCTCACTGTTGGTCATGTGGGCTTCAGCTGCCTTAACCACCATGCCACTGCCTAGCCCTAGTTAGGCTTTTAAAATTGGGTCTTTTTAAATTTGTAACCTCAAGAGCCCAAATTAATAAAGATCATCAGGCAGAATTCTCTGCCCTTCATTACTGCCTTGCCATGAAGATGATGTGATCTGAAAAACAGCACATTAAGGGTCGAGCATACCTTCTCTGTTTGAATCAGCAACATTTTGTAACTGGGAGAAAACACCATGTGCTCCACAGGCTCTTCGACCTCCAGAAAATCCTCTATTCTGTAACTTGAATCTTTAATAATAAAAGAATATACCAAGCCATCCTAGAGACCAAAAAGAATGAGATGAATGCAAAAAGTCAGACAAGCTAAGGCTCACTGATTACCATTGATAGTTTATTTAAAAATCATCATCTATGTTTATATTATCTATAATGTTCTGTCTTAAAACCTTTGTTTAGATAATGTCTAACCATGGTCCCTAGTCAAGGTCCAATTTTCTCTTTTGTGACAATTTTACTGATCTCTCCTTTCACTGAGTTTCTCTAGCATCTATCCTTTATCACTTTCTTTAGTATACAGGAGTTCGGGCAGATGAGAATTTCAAAGGACATTAACTCTATTATGTTCTTTAATCATTTTTATATGCTTTTATTATCCCCTAATGATCTAAGGGTAGGGACTGGGCCTTTTATTTCCTTTGTATCCTCTTTTTCAGTTCTTCACACAGAGCTATAATATGGCAGGTATCCAACAAAACTGGGTTGGTTGGTTGATAGGTTATGAGTATATATAGATTAATTTAACTACTCTCACCAAGAATTTGAGTTATTTTTATAACAGTGAAGGGGCTTTGGGCAAATCTATCCATCATTTTCTATATTTGACCCCATTGTTACTAAGAGTAGGCATTTGTGAGATGGTTGGCTTCAGCTGCTTGTGAGGTAGGGGTCAGGGAACACACATGATGTTTTATCTATGCTCATCATCATTATCCATTCCTTTTCAAAGCAAATGCTATAATTATTCTTTTAAAGTAGGTTAAGACAAACAGAGAGGGTGGCCTGGAAGGGGACAAGAGTCACAGAAGGCCACAAATGCAGAATAAATGCAGGAGGGAAGGGGGAGTAGTCTACTGCAAAGTTGGGGGAGGGAATTATAGCCAGGTGTAAGCGTACACACTCTAGATGGCTTCTCATGGTAGCACTGTGTCTCTCACCCTGATGTCATTGCTTAGCTGCCCCTAGAGTTTGGCAATGAGACAGACAAAGCCAACAGCTGACTCAGACCTGGGATAGAAATGGCTAGACCTAGGACAGCAACGGCCAGCTCAAACATTAACACATTGATAACATTGATTACAATGGCATGGAACACGCATGGCCCCTTTTCATACTTAGGCTGTGTGTTTTAACAAATGAGTGCCAAGATTTGGGAGTTTTGGCAAGGCCCTAGCTACTCCGCCTACTTGCTAGAGAACTCTGTAAGACTAAGTTCCTGCATCTGTGTAAGGATGGTGTTAATAGTTTCTACTTGATAATGTTGTTGTGAGAACCCAAAACGTAATACTAAAAGGAAGCACTTAGTGTGATGTCTGGCAGACAGTAAGCACCAAGTAAATGGAGGTTAGTGACACTAATTCTGATGTCAACAAGAACAACATGATACACATAAGCTAACTGGACACTCACAAGAGCCTGAGCTAAAGCTTAGTGAAAGGTTCCAAATTCATGTCTGACAACCTAATACATAAAGTGCAAAATGGTCATGAAACTGGGTTACAGATGTTAGGTGTTTTTTCTTTGGGGGACAATGATGGGTTTTTTTAATGCTATTTTGTTTATTTATAAGAAGATAAGTATATGATAGTTCATTATATCATTCTGTTTTTACATCTATCCAAAATCCTTCATAAAAAATTTTTAATAACAACATCCAAAGAGGAAACAATTAAAAAAATTAATCAGACAGGACTTGATATCCCAAAATATGGCTCAGAAAGTACATGACAGCAAATGAAAATAGTGTATTTTCTTAAAAGTTATTAATTTGTAAAAAAACAATACATTACAATTCCAGAAGTGAGCACTCCCTCCTTCTGATATACCAAGGTGACTGGATTGATAAGATTTCTTCTGTCTTTTGGAAAAGAAAAACAAGGTAAAGCAGGTGACATAATTAAAGTGCTATACAACAGTAAATAATAAAAGGTGCTTAATGATTACTGACTTAAATCACATAAGTCTTCAAGTTCTGTATCATCAGATCTATGTAACTAACATGACACAATTAAATGGTAAGCATATTTTATTAATTAAGAAACCACTGTCAAGAGGTTTTAAGATACTGGGAAGAGTGGGCCCCATACATAGTGCAGTTGTTAAGCTCTGTGTGTAGGGAGCCGAATCCCACATGGCCAACTGTGGTTCAGATCAGCCCCTGGTGGCTTGAAAAAAACATATATGCATGTGTGCCCAAAATCCTGACAGGATTGTGAAATGGAGATAGAGAATCCCCATTTGGAGGCTTCTCTCTCTCTCTCTCTCTCTCTCTGGAAAGCACATGTACCCTCTGGAAAT